CGTACTGCCAGAGTAACTGCTGGACATTCCAGGTGGGAACTTTGCTTCCCACAGGGTGTAATGTTTTGGCCTTACGCAAGCTACAATCCTCCTTACGCCACTCCCAGCAAAGGCGCTGCCCGATGCTGGTCTCCAACGGCTCCGTGGGCACTGCCACGCTGATGGAGCAGGCAGGCACGAAGACAGGAGGGATGCCTGCCCTGAATTTTGGGAGCGCGTTCCTACTACCAGCACTGTGCTTCACCTGCCCGCAGTACCAACCCCTCCCGAGCTGTCTACACCTCCCTGAACAACCCTCCGACTCGGTGCTCAGACTGCCAGTCCCAACGGCTGGCCACCAGAACAGCACTGCTGACCAAAAAAAAAAAGAAAAAAAAATCAATCAATTTTCTTATGGCAGAATCAATCCTTTCCCACCCCTCAACTCAGAGGAAGAAATCCATATCAAACACAGAAGAAACAGCAGGAAATACTTGGACATGGCCATCCCCACCATCTCACGTTTCAGCAGAAGACTGAACTAACCCTGAAGAGAACGTTGCCCGGCCCCCACTGCACGCGTGCCGACCCGAACGCTGCTGCTGAGGAAGGTTAATCCGACATTACACAGTGCCACAGGTACTGTTTTGCCAAACACAGCCAAGAATTTAGGCCATATGACTTCAGTTCTTTGCTTTACTCGTAAACTCACAAGTCCAACAAAATCAAAAAACCCTGGTATTAGGCCTGTACAATCCATATATAAAAAGGGTTGGTTTATTGTAGTTCAAATACATAAACTGAACAATCCCAACATTTCAAAATTAAACTTTAGAAACACAAGTTTAACATTCAAAACAGGAGTATAGTTTACAAGAATTGCCCAGAGGGGAAATCCACAGTCGAATCCAAAGTATGTAAAGATCACTTTATTGTAAATAAAAATGTGTTTATACAACCGTCCTGTTCTGCTCCAGTAACCACTATCATTTACCAAGTGTTTCCAGCTTTGAGTAAAAATTATTAGACAAATCTTCACTTGGGCAGAGCAACCTGATTTTGCTTCTAATTCATGGATAGGATAAGGAACAAAGCAGACCTGTGAACAAATTTGATTTGGTCTCTTAGTCCGAATTCTCCTCTCTCAGTTCTAACTCTGGCTTTAATTGATTTAGTTCCATTTACAAGGGGGAAAGCAAGCAGAGAATTGGGACTCGTGTTTCCAGAACGTGGTCTTCAGTGATCAATAATTTAAGCTATCAGCCAGCGTTTCACCTCCCTGGCAGGGACCGCGGGTGGCCATCAGGAAGCTGGTGGCACACAGGTAGCACAAGCCCAAGCCACAAGTGTGAACGTCCTTAAGACTCACGTGCACGCCGCCGCCGCGAACGCCTCCGCTGTCGGACAGCCGCACCTCCCGTACGCACAATGCACTGCTCCGAGAGCCAAACGCAGCCCACACGTTCGGATTTTTGTCAGTCCTGTCCCAAAGGAACTCAGAAATACTTTTATCGTGGGGGTGGTGGTGGTGTTGCCGTGCCCCGCCCTCCCCGAGACCATTTCATGTTCACAAATGCTGCTTATTTATTCCTCTGCTCCTCAGATGGTTTTGCGATATATTCACGGTAACGTATACGTATAAACCTGACAGATGGCTCATGCAAGCTTTTTGATTTGACAGACACTCTTGCCTTAAGAGCATTTCGTAACTACTTCGTCGTCCGCCGCGTAGGCTCTGAAGCTGTGGGTGGTGGGGGAGGGCCTCGGCGGTCCAGGTCATCCACGTAGGACACGATGAGTTTGCGTCTCTCTTCCGGTACGCAGTCGAGTACCAGATACCGCTTGTCGTTTTGTAGGATCTTCTCCACATCTTTCAGGTGCTGATCTGACTCCTGGATCAACTTTTTGGATCTGAAAGTAAGCGTAAGAGTTACCACCACAGTGGTGCTGGGCACCCGCGGCGCCCGGGAGCGCCCCCGGCTCCCGCTGCGAGCCAGAGATCTGCCCTCGCCGCGCGAAAGCACAGGGAGTCGGTGGAAAGGCAACGCAGGGCAAAGGAGCAGAGACCTGGCTACCAGCTTAGCCAGGAAGATGCCGCTTCAGGTCAGGACGAGGCACATCAACAGCTCTCTCCGCACAGGACATCAAGCCTTGCTGCCTACACCTGCGCTACGCTAATTAAGCGCCGTGGAAGACTCATGTAGTGCTGTACCAGGCCACTGCAGCCAGACAGGAACTACACAAATGCTAAAACCTACGGGGGAGCAGAGGGGAAAAAACCCAAACAACAGAGTTTTGAATTCGGCATCTAAATGAGACAAAGAATTAGAATTTCGATGTGGAAGCCTCAGCCACGGTCCAGCCTGACTGATGAACTGCATCCACAGCACCAGTTTGGAGCCCGCTGACAGCGGCACCACCTGAAACCACAACTCCGACACGCTCCAGCGCCGACCGCACAGGAACCGCGCGCTTCGTTAGCATCCAAAGAACCTAACTTCATTTTCTCCTTTTTAAGTGAACTCATGTTTCTGATAGGAAACTTGTTTTGGTCCATAGCCAAGATTCTGTAGCAGCCTGACCATCCTCTGAAACTGAGGGAAA